TTATACATTATAGGTTATGTTTTTACGTTTTTACTAGTCTAACAAGCCTATAATTTGTGGAAGAGAAATAAAGAGAAAAAAAAAATGTCTTTCGTCAAAATCTAAATCTCTTTTTCTCTTTTTTTTTTCTTTATGGACCTAATATATTTTTGCTCTAAATATTTTTAGGTAATTAAAATATTTTTTTATTATGATTACCGCACGAACATTTCATAAGACTTTTAAAGAAAATTACTTTAGCTTGGCGCGGTTGGAGCAGTGGCGTATGATCGGAAAAAACGTCTGGCTAGCGGAACCTCGACAGCTGGAGAATCAGGAAAACTGCATGGAATCGTGAGTGCGACTGGAACAGCGATCGGTTGCGGTATTTACGTTGATAAATGCGGCTCTGTGTCTGTTTCGGGTTGCGATAAAGCTATTTATAAATACGCGCCAGCCCAGAAGATCTTACGACGACTGCGGCGAAAGGCGATGTCGATCGACGAAGCGGTTGCTGAAGTGTTAAAAGATTTCAAAGAAGAAACTGGAGGATCATTTCCACCGGAATCCGACGTAGGTGTAATCGCATTGACTGCCAAAGGAATACCATCAGTATCCTTTAAGTGTCCACATTTTCCTTGGGCGTATTGTGACAAAGGCTATGTGTATTACGGATGCGCGAGGAACGAGATTTTCTCAGAAAAAATCGATATCATCGAGCGACCATTAGACTGCATGTGTGAAGATTCAAATTAGATCAAATGCGCGATTCACCAGAGAATCGTTAGATTTTAGTCAGAGCAATACACTCAACTGACGCATCTCTGATCAAAATCAATTGCATCTCAATATTTATTTGCATTTTTAGTATCCGGAACATAATTCCTTTTTTCTTCCTTTCTTTTATACACAGAGTGCTTTACTGAATCAATTTGGAATAATCTAATCCGATTTTTTTATGATTTTTAATGTTTTTATTATATGGAAAAAAAAAACAACTTTGCTGAAGTAAATTTAGCTAACTCCGAAAATAATTATGCTAAACCATCGAAATAATTATGTAGGACGCTCAAACATGATGACATTGCTGAAAAAGTTTTGACATTGAACAACCAGCTTGATCATTCAATACAATTACTGTTGTACTTACTATCTATCTAACAAAATTATTTTAGATCCGTTATCCACCTAAAATTATTTTAGATCCGTTATCCACCTAAATTTTTAGATACTTTAACAAAATCGTTTCTTCCATGTTTAGATTGAGTTACATAAATTTTTTTTCGCGAAATAAAACTAATTCGTACTCAACTTACAGGAAAGATAACACCATGATTATCCTCGTAAGGCCCGTATAATAAGAATGTGGGTGCTTGTCCATTGAATTTTCTTCCAAATATCTTATCCATTTCAAGTAGCATCGTATAAATTTCTTGGCGTCTTAGATTCGTGATATTCTCGTGTGCCATTATCTGCCGAGACAAAAAAAATTCATATTTGTAATAAGAACATCTAATATTAGCTAAATCATATGTTAAAGAGAAAATAGTTATACCGATCCGAGAGACGTCCAAGCGAGCAAATACGGAACTCTTTTTATAGCTTCCGCCAAAGTCGGACCTAATACTCTGTACTTAGGCAAACGATTTATATTCTTATTATCAATTCTCTCGTAATAAAAATCACCTGTGATATTAGAAGGTATTAGATAGAACCATAATAAAGATAGTTAACCAAAACAATTAATCGACTCAACTCACCCGCTTCCGTTTTGTTTTCTATGACTTTTAAATTGACGAAGGCAACGTCGACAACACCGGAAGCCAAGTAATTAAAAGTACTTAGATCATCACCAGCATGTTCCGCACCTGCAACGAGATTACAATTTTGATTATTCATCAACTCATTTCTTGTATGATCATAACGTGTTTTATATCTTTCTTCTATACATTGTTCTTAGCGAATCGAGAATTTAAACGGTCTATTACACACACACACACACACACACACACACACACATTTATTTATGCGTCCATATCTTTATGATTATAGTTCATTTACGAGCGCTTTGCACACGCTTATAATTGTGACTGTATGTATTCTCTATATCTTACCTTCCTTGCATAACGAATGTAAATTAACTGGGAGCTCGTTGCCATTATTTTTATTATTCCATCCGAGGACACAGCTATCTTTGAAGAATTTTGAAATAGCCTGCGCGTCCGAACAGTCCCAATTTCCATTCGACTCGTTCCTCATTAATGTTACAAAAGCGTTCCAACCTGGGACCAAGAGACCATAACGGCGAAATGGATTAAAAGCAATTCTGGGGTAACTGAAACTGCGAAATACGAAATTATATCCCATTTATATAATCGCACCGACGCTTCTGTAGCCTGTGAAGGCCGCCTTGGCACCTTTAAGATCCTTCATAACTCTGAACTTGGAATTCCTCTTGACAACCGCCGCAATCCTATTCAACTCTTGTCGGCTGTGCGCCATCGCATGGATAATAGACTTCAAACCCATCCTGCGAGAGAAACGATTTGAAAAAAATATTTTCAATTTTTATTTGTCATGCTTACGTTGATCCGCTAATATTTAGGTATTTACATTTTATTTTCGAGAAGCTCTTCAGGCCGCGCCAAAAAAATGTCCGTTCTTCCTTCCCGTATGGCCTCTACGCATGCTTCTCTACTAGTTTCTTGAAAGCAGGAGATCAACGGTTCTACACCGTAAACGATAGAAGCGACTCTTAGCCAGCTGCACTTACGCTTTTCGAGATTGGATACTAGACACCAACGTACGTCTCTTGATGGTAGACAACCCGTTCGAACATTAGCGCTCAAGAAGTTTGGATCTTTGATCAGAACATCCACATTGTTGAAACAAATGAAATATATTATTTATCATATTACATTCATAAATATTTCTAGAAGATTTTTTTATAAGAAACTTTTATATATTGATTCTAATTTAGATTAAAGTTATTCCACTGTCAAATCTTAGTTAACAATTAAATTAATAATTAATAATTATTAACAGATTTTTGATAAATAGAAACACAACTTTTTGATAAATAGAAACAAACAAACTAACAAATTGCATACATTAAAATGTTTATATGGTTCAAAAAACTCTATTTAACGTAGTTATAATAAACGTTATCAAGTGCGAGGAAAATTTAATTTATTGTGAAATTGACAATTATGTAGTTGTTCAGTGATTAACAAATAATAGATTATATGTTTTAACAAATTACTTATTATAAGAAATCAAAAATAAATAACCATAGTATATACATTACATCGATGTAAGTAATCATCGGGCGTTTGCAAATCTTTCACGTCAGTAGAGGTAATGTAATAGTTCTCCATCAACTGTAAGACATTGGATTCCCAACTGAACGTTCTGTTTATCATCGAATTCATCATATGGGCGATATTTTCAGCATTCGATCTGATGAAAAGGAAAACTTTTTAAAATGTTTCAATCCTACATAAATTATATGTTAAAAAAAATTAAAATGTTACGAAGTCACTTCACGAAGGAGCGACGTAAAACTCTTTAATTCTTTAGGGTGAATCTCATTCCAAAAGAGTGAAATCTCATTCCAAAGAATTTAGAGAGAACACTTACGGTCTTGCTACAATGACCGGCCATGGTTTAGATATCCAGATGCAGGGTTCCTCAAAGTTTAGCGGTCTCGTGGTGCCGTCTGGGCATAAAAATTTGTAATCTTGCACATCGATCATCTGTGCCTGTGTCAAGTATACTAGATGTTAGTACCGCGAGTTGCATTGCAATTCATTTAAATTATAACTTTTTAGAATAACTTAGAACGAGATTGGTTCTTTCTGAGCTCACCGTTTCAAAGACATTGCAATTGCATTGTCTGTAAGTTGACTTGTTAGTTACCTTGAAATGTACGCGAGCATCTCCTAATCTGACCCAGGCAACGTCGCCTATGCCATCGGTGAGACACAACAGGGCACCCTCTCGTCCATAATATTTGTCGGTGTTGTAACAGCTAGCTGGCTTCTCGCAAGCGGCACAGAGATTCCTATATTTCGATTCTGTGAATGATAATAAGGATTTTTCCTTATTCGTACACGAAGAAATGAAAACTTTCATTACATGTTATATAAATTATATTGTATAAATAAATTATGTAATGATTATAAATAAATCTAAATATGCACACGCATTTAAAATAGAATGTTTGTATACGCACATGTTTGTAATTGAATACATACTCAATTGATAATCAAATGTTGTGTCTGCCGACCAAGGGCCAGCGATGCAAGCCATTTCGAAGTAGTTGGACAGAGCATGCATTCTGTTCTCGAACAGCGTCATGTTTGCGTCGCATTCTTTTTTAATTATCAGATTCTCAAAATACTGAAATACGAAAGATCGATAGATAAAACGATAGATAAATATGATTCTAAAGCGCACGCTGATACAAAAAAAGAATCACCAACCATTGAGAAAATTTTAGTCCAATCATCGACTGTATCTAAACCGGGATGACACAATCGCTTTCCCTTGACATCCCATATACGTTGCACATTTTTGTGTGCTATGGCCACTACCTTAAAACGATGGTCATCTAAAAAAAAGAACGTGTCATTTGAGATAATTGTATAATGTTGAGATAATTGTAATTTTAATGTAGTTGATTTTTTGATATCAAATCAGTCCCGATTATTTATAATAATTGATTTGAAATAAATAAATTCCTTAAATAAATTTACAATTTAAATTTACCTAAAAATAAGTGATTGAAATTTAAATTGAAATTCATATCGATAAAGTTCAGACACTTTATTCTCGTAATTTTTTTATCTTAATAATTACCATCTGAGAAGAGTCTTAATTCATTCGTGACTAGTACACTGTATAATTTGTAGTTTCTTATCGCCACAAGTTCTTCTGGCTCCAACACAGTGAAGTCGACATCACCATTGGCTACTCGACGTAAACACCCAAATCTATAAAGAATTATTTTCATATAAGAAGAATTATTTTCATATATTTTCTAATACTCGTATTGAAAAATTGATCAATTCATAAGTTTTGCAATCAAATCAGTTTTTCCGAAAAAGCCATATCTTCAATGAATTTTTTAATAAACAGAAAATTATTTTCTAAATGATTCACGTTTTATATACATATACACGTTTTATATACATATACACGTTTTATGTATAAGATAAAGAAGTGCTAAAAATATATAGTGCTTCTCGAGTAAAACTTAAGTGATACGTTACATATCTTTTTATCATTCCAATCCAAGTAATAATTTTAATTCTTCTTTTTACTCTAAAGATATTTTTATTGAAAGTCTTTTTCTTATTCTAAATTTTCAATCTAAGTAATAGCAGCTTTAATTCTTTGACAAAAATCATTATTCCTCGAAAAAAATTATTTTACCAAATTAAAAATTGAAACCTAAATGCTATAGTTTTAACTTAGCCAAGTTAAATTCTATTATATTAAAAAAAAAAGCAAAACTAAATTGTACTATTTTTGTTATTTAACTTTAATGATATGTATCAATCGTATAAATCGTATAAAAGATTTGATATTTACAACTAGCATTAAGTTAATTTTCTAAATGATTCATATTATATATATATAAGGATATCCCGTAAAGATAGGAACAATGGGAAACTTAAGATAGAAACAACATGGGGAACTTAAGGGAAAATTCCAGAGATCATTTTGAGACGAAAATCTTAATATCGAGGGAAAATATCTTTTAACAGAAGAAATATCAATAATTAGCAATATCAGTAATTGTATCTTTGCATACATATAATATATTTATTTGTATTTTTTTATTGATATTTACAAGAGGCAATAATTAGCTTTCACTTTTAGCATTTTGCAACATACTATATTCTAACGCGCAAATTTTAGGCGATATAATTCGCTAACTTTAAATGATTACAATTAAAAAATTATTATAGCTTCGATATTTTGGGAACTTTTGTCTCAAAATAATCTTATAACTTATTACATGTCTATTGTTATGATATATTATTACGAAATGTCTTTTAACTTGTTTAGAACAAAAAAAGAAACAAAAGTTTCTAAATATTAACCATTGAAAAAACTTCCATCGTAGAAAATTTTATCGTGTCATTATGCGTTATACTTGCCTATCAGTTTCTATAATACATTCTACCGGACTCTTAGCCAGTTTCGGACAGAGTGAAAGAATTCTTTGCGTAGTATGTACACTATCGACTAAGCACAGTGACCCTAAAACATCGATTTTATATTTTGTATACAAGATTTTTTTTAATAGAAAAAACAAGAAATATATTTGAGAATACATATTATTGATCTGACGTATTATTTATCTTTTTCACATGTTCAAAACAAATTTATTAATATTTATATAAAGAAACAATTTATTGTTACTTATATGATTATTATAATTGATTATTATCATTATATGATATTTTGGACAAAAAATAATTATTAATATACAGAAGAGTTCAATTTTAAAGTTTTCATGTAAACGTATTTCAGATGCTTGCCTAGCAAGAAGTATGCAAAAATAGTATAATAACAATTAAATAAAACACACACACGCTGCACACACAAGCGTGCAACCTTGCAATTACCTTTTACGTGATACGATGAAACTACTTGTGTGTTGTATTAGCAAATATATAGTTTAGCAGTTTAACCGAGAAATTAACGGAGAATTATTTTTTTTTCCATAATAAAAATTTTCTTATTAATAATATTTATTTGTCATCTATGGATTAATTTACTTGGACAATATTTCGAAATATGACATTTCGCAGTCCTCACTGATGTGATAACAAGAATACTAGTTTCGCAATTTCCTGTGTCTTACTTACACTTGTTAGCAGCATTGACGTATTCGTAACTATTTACGAAAGCTGTGACAAGAGAGAAAATGAACCAACAAACTATACGAAAATTCATGATCGATCTTCGCTCTGCTACCATTCCTTTGAATAAAATCGTCTATTTAACAGTACTTCCCGAAAAAAGATTTTCCAATTAATGCCACCGCACTCTCATGATTATTTGATGTGATCACTGTTATCGTACAAAGAACAGTAATATGATATAATTATCACTGAGTTATATTTTGCTGGACCAATTCAAGTAAAGTCACTTGTATTCTAAACGTTATATATAATTACAATAAATAATTATCCACTTAATTTAAGTAATTTTACGCGCAAAAAGTTTTCGGATTATTTTCAAAGAATTGAGATATTTTTCAATATGTTAATAAAATATATCTAACAATAAGAAGAATTTATGGAAATAATAACGTTCATTTTTAAATATATTCTTTCACGTGATATCTAATCGCCGACAATAATAGGTTTCAAACGATCATCTTTTTTAAGATAAGCAATAGATATGCTCACGATACGTATATGTAAAATAAAGCATTCAGCGTAAAAAATATGTATTTTTCCTTGTTAAAAAACCGAATTAAGTCGAGTTATAATTTATTACTCAAAAAGTATCGATTTTTCAATCAATATCGATGTGTACAATTTTCACGAAACGATTAGGATAACAATGCAGTCTTTTGTGTTTGGAGCACGCGTTTCTGTTGAAATGTTGTCGGTACCAAAATATAGTAGATGCCTAGATAGAACCGCACACTTTCGCTTTCCGTCCTTGAGACTTTTTGCCAACGCAAGGAATACCTTTTTGTAGAACCGCTTCGAGATCGCTTATATCACTGAATCCACAACTGATTATAATTAAAAACGAAAGTTAACGTCTCTCCAATTTGAAATTGTTCATGTCTAACAATAATAAGTTTTGAAATATGTTTTCCTCAGTAAATTCTCAAGTATAGTTGATCTCTTGAATAGTTCAATCACTCCGAAAATTTTCAGATTAAAATGCTTAAATTCACAAAGAGATGCCCATTTCTCCTGTTATTCCAATCTTGAAAAATGCTGACTCGCGTTCGATCTTTCAACTCTTCCATCGCGTGCTTTTACACTGAGATTCTTTTTCGCTCTTCTTGTTTATCTACGGCATTCCGTAGGCAGAACGAGAGACGCGTGTTCTGCTGAGAATATGCCCGTGAGAAGACCGCGAGAACTCGCGGTTGAAAATATCATCTGACACGCAATCGCGAGTATAAAATAACCACACTGAGTATGAAGGTCCACGAATCCCGAACGAAGTAGATGAATGACGATCGAAGTTTCTGACTGTCCAGCGGCATGTAGCGTGATGATACCCGGCGCTGATCGGTCAGGAAAGTCCAAGTATGCGGGGAGCTGGAATGATTAAATCTGGTGGGAGAGAAAGAGAGAGAGAGAGAGAGAGAGAGAGAGAGAGAGAGAGAGAGAGAGAGAGAGAAAAAAA